CGCCCCGCCCGCGGCCAGCCCCGCCTCTTGGCTTTGGCTGGCGGTGATTGGTCAGTCTATCAGTCGCCTCGCCCGCATCCAGCCCCGCCCCTTGGCTTTGGCCGGCGGTGATTGGTTAGAGCCTATTAGCTGCCCCGCCCGCGCCAGCCCCGCCGCTTGGCTTTGGCCGGCGGTGATTGGCCAAAGTATCAGCCGCCCCGCCCGCGACCAGCCCCGCCTCGGCTTTGGCCGGCGGTGATTGGGCAGAGCCTATCCGCCTTTAAACTGCAAACAAATGAAATCCGAGCGATTCCCGCGCACGTCGGGGTCAAAGGTGGGTGCGGACTGCGAGGTCTGCGGGTGCGGAAGAGGCTCTGGGACCCGGGGAGCTTGTGCCCTGAAGCCCGGCCTCGGCGTGACCCACCTGACTGGCTCTGGTTGTAGACGACAGTCAGCCCCCGCAGGTCATCTATGTGACCTTGGGCCCGGCGGCTGGCGCGCTTGCTCTCCTTTTCCCAGTACTCGGGCTCCGTCGGCTCCATCCAAGGCGCCCGCGGCTCCAGCCTCGGGTTCGGAGCTTCGCTGTCGAAGCGCACGAACTGCGTGTCGTCCACGTAGCCGACTTCAATGTAGTGGGGCTCGGGGGCGTCCGGCAGGGACATGGTGGTGCGTAAATAGCGCAGGGAGTGGGAGCCTGCAGACGGGCGGGGATCGGCTGAGACCGCCGCCCCACTTCCACCCCGCCCCACGTGGCGACCCCGTGGGCCCTGCGCCCCAGCCTGGCGGTGCCTCTCGCCCGAACCCGCCCGCACTCACCCGCCCGGGTCGGGGTCAGGACCGAGACCCCCGAGAGCAGCAGGAGGAGGGCCCAGGGAGCCATGGTCCTGCAGAGAATTTGCCCCATCTGCAGGGTCACGGGGAGCCAAAATCAGCTCAATAGCTGCGAGGGAGGGAGAGTCGGCGTCACAGATTGCCAGCGAGGACTGGCTTCTCCCGAAACCAGAGACCCAACAGGAGTGAAAGCCAGTGCTGCGTCATTTGTATCCAGGTAGAAATTGCTGACCATGTAAAAGAGAGAAACGAAACTCAGCGCTGAATGCCCCATCACTGGGCTGGAGCTCCAAACCCTAAACACAATCCTGGGGTCTAAGAGCCAAACCCGGGTACTGGGATTTTGTCCTGGCACTCTGCTCCTGCACGGAGCCTACACTGCCAGTGGGTGCTGTAACTGAGAGAAAAGAAAACAAAATAGAAGAAAAAGTAGAACAAGTTAAAAATGAGTCAGAGAAACAAATGGTAAAAATGTTAAATCTTAACAAAATATACTGTGGAGCTCTGGCGGTGTAGTAGTTTCCGTGTTGGGCTGCCAGATAGGAATTCACTCATGATGTTTTATTTTCTAATGGACTACCAGCTTAGTGACGTGATCTGTGTGTTAGACATGGGTGACTAGAGAAACAAATCCAGACACACTCATACGTGTGTAAGAGAGAGCTTTATATTAAAGAGCAATTGTATTTTGAGAAAACATCCCAGCCCAGTCCAGATCAAGTCCATATGTCCAATACTAGTCCATAAATTCCTCTTTAGACGCATGGAGTACATGCAATGAGGCCAAATGCAGGAAGATCACAGGCCGGTGGGTGGAAAGTCCTGTGAATCCTATGGCGGTGGACACATCTCCAGGTTTCTGGCTGCTATCAGCGTGGCTTCACGTGGCTTGTCAACAGAAAGGTGGAACAGAGTGTGTGGCCCACCTCCCAGGAGGAACGAGGAAGTTCCCATAATCCTCATGAGAAAGCTATACACAAGATTATGTAACTACCACACTGTGAGAAAGAATAAGGACCTTAGGCCTTATAAATATGTCTAAGACAGGTGATGGAAGGTCCATAGATCATCAAGAGTAGTGCTGTCAATAGATCTTTGTGTAAAGAAAGAATTATATATCCCTGCTGTCCCTACATTGGTTACGGATCACATTTGATACAGCTACTGTGCTGAGCAGAGCCTTGGTGGCTTAGTGGTTATGAATTGGCCAGGGATCCACAAGGTCAGCAATTAAAAAATACCAGCCGATCCATGGTAGATATATAGGGCTTTCCACTCCTGCAAATGGTTACAGTATTGGAAACTCACAGGGGCAGTTCTACCTAGTCCTATAGGATCAATATGAGTTGGCATCAGCTTGAGACAATGAGTTTTTTAAGTTTATCAAAATGTGAAGATATTGTGTTTTTTTTTGGCATATCCTCCGTTTAGGTCTATACAATCCCGAAGGTGGTATTTCCATCTCTCTAACCTTTTTTTTTTTTAAACATTTTATTAGGGGCTCATACAACTATGATCGCAATCCATACACACATCAATTGTGTAAAGCGCATTGTACATCATTCTCAAAACATTTTCTCTCCACTTAAACTGCCGACATTAGGTCCTCATTTTTCCCCTCCCTCTCTGCTCCCCCCTCCCTCATGAGCCCTTGATAGTTTATAAATTGGTATTTTGTTCTCTAACCTTTCTGACAAGCTGATGAAACACCAGGTCACCAAATTCGAAAGACCTGTCCAATATACTGTAAGGGGTCTATATTTGTGCTCATTCCAGAAAGGTGACAGACTAGAACTTAGCTAACAATATCATTAATAACACAGCCAAATAAGGGTTTGCTAAAAATAATTCAAAAAATGGCTGCAGTAGTACATCGACAGAGAGCTGCCGGATTCAGAAAAGGACATGGGACAAGGGGTATCATTTCTGATGTCAGATGGATCTTGACTGGAAGCAGAGAATACCAGAAAGATGTTTACTTGTGTGTGTGTGTGTGTGTTTAATTTTAATCGTTTTATTGAACTATAACACAAATATCATAAAATTAATTATATTAAAATGTTGTGCAGTTATCACCACAATCAATTTTAGGATATTTTCATTTTGTAAACATCGAGAATGGGAATTTCAAAACACTTCACTGTGCTCACATAGAACCTATCCATGGGCAAAGAGTCAGTGGTTCAGACAGAACAAGGGAAGACTGCAGGGTTTAAAATCCTGACAGGTGTGCATGAGGGTTGCAACCTTTCTGCATGGTTATTCAATCTGTATGCTGAGCAAACCTGAGAAGCTGGACTATCCAGGGTTAGAGACAGACTCATTAACAACCTGAGATAGGCCGAATGACACGATCTTGCTTGCTGAAAGTCAAGAGGACTTGAAGCATTTGCGGATGAAGGTCAAAGACTACAGCCTTCTGTATGGATGGCAAGTCAGGGTGAAAACAAAAGTCCTCACAACTGGACCAATGCACAACATCATGATAAACAAAGAAGCGACTGCAATTGTCAAGGATTGTTTTTGCTTGGATTCACAATCGGCGCTCATGGAAGCAGCAGTAAAGAAGCCAGATGACATATTGCTTTGTGCAAATCTGCCACACAAGATCTCCTGAAAGTTTCGAGGAGCAAAATGTTACTTTGAGGACTAAGGAACCTGAGACTTGAAATCCCACATGATTCAGCAATACCACTGTGGTAGTTACATAATCTCTTGTCAACCTGCAAAGGGGTGGAGTCTAGCTTGATGACCTCATTTGGAGGCTTAAAGGAGATAAATAGCTCACTGGAGGGCACACACACTCACTCTGCTTCATCTTTCTGCTGACAAGACACATGGAGCTGCACTGATGCAGCCACAGCCCTGGAACTGGAGGATGCATATGGAGACCTATGCCAGTTCTCAGATGCTTCCACCACCACTGGACCCACAAGGCTTCCTACCCACTGGCTTGCGATCTTCCTGCATTCAGCATCATTGCGTGTCTGTGTAAGTCTAAAGAGAGATATATGGACTAGTATTGACATATGGGGTAATAATCAGATTTATGGACTTGATCTAGATTGGGCTGGGGTGTTTTCTGCTTTCTTTTAAAATCATTTTATTGGGCTATCACCATCCATCCATCTATTTTATGTCAAGCACATTTGTACATTTGTTGCCCTCATCATTCCCAAAGCGTTTGCTCTCTACTTGAGTCCTTGGTATCAGCTCATCTTTCCTCTCTCTCTCCCCCCTCCCCCCCCTCCCTCATGAACCCTTGATGATTTATGAATTATTATTATTTTATCATATATTACACTGTCCGATGTCTCCCTTCACCCTCTTTTCTATTGTTCATCCCCCACGGAGGAGGTTATATGTGGATGTTTTCTTAATGTTCTTTGATACACAGTTCTCTATTACACATATATGAATGTCTATGAATTTGTTTCTCTAGTCAACGCAGACTAACACATACCACTATTAGGGATATACACTAAAGAAATAAAGAGACAAAACACGAGTGGAGGTATGTTCTCTCATGTTCATAGCAGCACAGTTCACAATAGCAAGAAACGGGAAGCAGCCCAAATGCCCAACAGTGGAAGAAGAATGGATAAAGGAACTATAGAATACTATGCATCCCTAAAAAAGCAGTGATGACAAATGGAAAACAGCAGCAACACAAACACTGATGAAAGTATGGAACACCTCACGACATGGAAGGACCTGAAGCGAATAGGCTGAGTGAAGTAAGTCAATCACAAAAGGACAAGTATTGTATGAATCCACTTCTATAAGAAGAAACACCTATTAAAGAAATCTTAGGAAGCAATTCCTGAACAAAAGGAGAGAAGGCTACCTACCGGCCATGAGCCATGCATCACCTTCCCTTTGCGTAGTTCACAAGAGCCACCTTGAAGCGGGAGACCTCACGTTGCCGGGGGTCACCCTTTAAGGAGAGTGTGTTAGAGAAACAAATCCAGAGACACTTAATAAAATGATTAATAAATCAATTTATGATTAACAAATAATTTTATTGGTGGCTCTTACAACAATCCATATATCAATTGTATCAAGCACATTTGTACATATGTTGCCATCATCATTTCTAAAGCATTTTCTCTCTATTTGAGCCCTTGGTATCAATTATTTTAATTTTCGTATTTTACATGATCCGCTGTCTCCCTTCACCCATGTTTCTGTTGTTTGTCCCCCTGAGGGAAGGGGTGTGTGCATTGACTTTTGGGATCGGTTTCCCCTTTCTCCCTCTTTCCCCCCAACTTTCCTCCTACCCTCCTGGTATTGCTACTCTCATTATTGGTCCTGAGGGGTTAATTTTTCCTGGATTCTGTGTGTTGACAGCTCTCATCTATACCAGTGTAAATGCTCTGGTCTAGCCAAATTTGTAAGATGGAACTGGGGTCATGATAGTGGGGTGGGCGGGCGGGCATGGAGAAGCATTAAAGAACTAAAGGAAAGTTGTATGCTTTGTTGGTGCTATACTGCACCTTGGCTGGCTCATTCCTGCCGTGTGACCCTTCTGTGAGGGTATGTCTACAGATGTGCTTTGGGTCTCCATTCCAACCCCACTCTGTTCTCATTGAAATGGTTGTTTGTTTTGGAGTCTTCTGATGCCTGATCCCATTGACACTTCGTGTTCTCACAGGCTGGTGTGTTTCTTCCACATGGGCTTTGTTGCTTCCCTGCTAGATGGCTGCTTATTTAACTTCAAGACTTTAAGACCCAAGGCACTGTATCTTGTAATAGCTGGGCACCATCAGCTTTCTTTACCACATTAGCTTATGCACCCATTTTGTCTTTAGCAATTGTGTCGGAAAGATGAGCATCACAGAGTGCCGGGTTATTAGAACAAAGTGTTCTTGTGTTGAGGGAGGACTTGAGTAGGGTCCTGATGTCTGTCTGCTACCTTAATACTTAACCTATAAATATATATAGACCTATATCCCTATTGTTATATATTAATATATTTACATATGTACATGCCTATATTTATACCTCTATGAATGTCTTTTGCCTCCTAGTGTTTACCCTCTATTTCCTTTTACTTTCCTCTTGTCCCACTATCATGCTTGACTTTTATTTAGCTCTCTGTACTACTTG